TGGCTGGCAACCTGTCTGAAATTTTTGGCACCAATTTAACCTCCCCAGAAAAAATTACCTGTGTATAGTGCAACCGTTCATCGAAAATAGATGATTTTTAACCTCTTGAAAAAAAAAAAAAAAAATTTACCTGTGTATAGTATGACCGCGTGTTTTTTTTTTGCGTAAAAAATACTGATCATAAAAATTTGCACTATTCTTGATTAAATATGGTAGTTACGCAACAGATTAGTTAGTTCTTCTAATTCCTTATGAAACATTGGATGACTAAGAATTTCAGTGGGAGCTTCGATTCACAAGCGGGACGCGACAGATTACGCAGCACTTATTTCGATTAGCCACGTTACTTAGAGCGATTACTTCACTATTAGTGTCATAATTTATCTAAAACAGTAAATTGATTAGTGCGTTGCTTAAATGTATTTCAAACGTTATAAAAGTGAGTTCAAAGCATTAAATCGCATATCAAAACTAGGAATGATGCAAATTTATTATGAATTTTAATTGAATTTAGTGCGCCAACATTTTGGCACCGCATTATTTTTGCAGGTTTTTTTTGTTTTATGATGACACTCATACCAAACTTTATCCTATTGAAGACAATATACTGTCACAGCAGAATAAAACCCGCCCACCAGATACCCGTTCTACTCGGCATGCTCTGTTCAACTTCAAACCTCTACAAATATGTATGGGACATGACCTGATTCATTTAGTTAGCCCACCTACGTCTCTTGCTGTATTGTATAAACAGATGCAAGAGGCGTGTAATATTCTATTCTCTGGATGTTATTTGCCATTTGTATGATTGTATACATTTAAGAGTAAAGGTCTGTCTAAACATCCAAGGAGATTATGTTGTGTGGTAATGTGTGGCAGGTATGCTCTTGATGCATTTTTTTTTTATTTATTTAGGAACCTGTGCCTATATTAATCTGTATCTGGGGTTATTTACTGTAATCTTAAGTTTATTTAAACACAAATTTAGAGGGTTGCAATTTTCTTTTCTTTCTCTCTCTCTTTGATTTATCAAAAACAAAATCTCTGACTCTGTTTAGATATTTACTTTGACCTCTTCATGAAACAAAAAACAAATCATTTCAGTCAGGACGTTAATGCAAATAATTGATGATATTTAGAAGCTAATTTCAATTGATAAAATCTCCAATTCTTTGGTATCTCATTTCTTTTTAGGTACCATAAGTTAAAACTTTAATTTTTTTTTTTTTGCATTGAATAGCACCATGTTCAACTAAAACCTTGTTCAACCTGCTCTGGTGCAAGAGGAAAATGATAAGCAGAATAATACCTGCCCACCTGATACCTGTACTACTCAGCATGCTCTGTTCAACTCATCTTCTAGCTAAACCTCTTCTCCATTGAATATGTATAGGGCATGACCTGATTCATTTAGTTAGCCCACCTACATCTCTTGCTGTATTGTATAAACAGATGCAAGAAGTGTGTAATAATCTATTCTCAGGATGGTATTTGCCATCTGTACGATTGTATGCATTTAAGAGTAAAGGCTTGTGTTAACGCCTAAGGAGATTATGTTGATTAGTTATGTGGGACAGCTGAACTGTTGATTCATCCCTTTCTTTTGGAACCCGTGCGCATATTAATCTCTAACTGGGATTATTTACTGTAATTCAAGTAATGTCACCTGTACAGTTAATCTTAAGTGAATTTGAACGCATATTCAGAGGGTTGCAATTTTATTTTCTGTCAGTTTAGAACTAAAGTTTTGGGACGTAAATTTATATCGCAAACGCTACTAGATTAAAGCACGTTACCATAAACTAACCGAGAAGAATATAACATCTATCATTCCTGCAGTTCTGCAGAGATAAATACAGAGATAAAAAAAAGTCTCTATCAAACTGTTTTAGAGCAAGTGTTATTTTGTAAGGTCAAAGTATAATCAAATTAAGCAGCAATTTTGCTAAAAGGGTAAAAAGATTCGACTACTGTTGAGATCTTGTTACAGACTCCTACAAAAGATATTGATTTAAACAGTTTTTGCCCGCGGTTCACTAAAGACAGGGTTAGTTTCTGACAATTGTCGAGAAAGGCAATGATAAATTAAACTGAATAAATGAGTTTGCTAAAAGTCAATAAACCAACGCCGATTTAGTAGCGAAAATGAGTTTCGTCTGCTTTGAGTGGCAATCAACAATAAAGTGATCAGTTGCTGTTCGATATGGAAAGGCATTTGTGAAAATTCGAACTGGCCTTTGCTCCCAGATTAATTTATTCTTCAATGGCTTGCATATTATGTATTGGGAAGCCATTTATGAAAATCAACCCCGCTTTTCGACAAATTTTCGATACAAAAGTCAAGTTTTATTCCCTTTGTCAACTTTGGTAACGTTAAGATACATTGAAGCCACGGAAAAGGACGAAGCGAATAACAGTTACTGAATGGAGTTCAGTGACTATTTTCCCGAAGATATAAGGTGTTTCATTAACTCGGATCAAAGTCAGCAGTAAATAAATCAGTGTTATTGGTGAAAATTTATTTATCTCTCTATTGGATCATGTTATTTATGTCATGGTAATTATGTGTGAAAAATAATATCGCCCAAATGTCCGCCAAATCTGAAAAAAAAAAGAAAAAAAGCATTAGACGCTTAAACTTAATTCACATTTAAAATCGGTCCAAATTATTGAAACACCCTTTAATTATCAAGTAGAATAAATTTTCAGTAACTGTGCCTATAAATATTCATAAGTGACTTTAATATTATGATTAACACTATTAATGGCATTTCTGTTTATTAAAATCATTTAATATAATTGGTTCATCTTGAACATATATATATTGGAAAGAGTTTATTTACTTATTTGCTACACGTTGTCAAACCATTTTGTGTACAGCCTTAACATTTAGTACACATACTTGTTTGATCCAGGGGAATGTTTTAGCGTTTTTTTTTATTTCATAGTAACAGTTATCGTTTGTAACAGCTCGGTGTAAGTCTATAATTTATACTTTATTATTAATGAAAAGACAAAAAAATATTTGTGTGGTTTGAAAAGACAATTTTACCGAATTTTTATCACCAAACATATTTTTTACTTTTCATAGTTTTTTTATTTATTGAAAGTTTACAAGAATCAAATAAATCTATTTGCTTTCTCGTTACTAATTGCTATTATGTAATTACTGTACATGACCGGTAAAGTTGAAAATAAACCTTGATACACGTGAATAATTACAATAATAAACTAGTTAATAACAAAGACTGTAAAATATATATATTATATATATATATATATATATATATATATATATATATATATATATATATATATATATATATATATATATATATATATATATATATATATATATATATATATATATATATATATATATATATATATATATATATATATTTATATGTATATATATATATATATATTTATATATATATATATATATATATATATATATATATATATATATATATATATATATATATATATATATATATATATATATATATATATATATATATATATATATATATATATATATATATATATATATATATATATTTTTATATATATATATATATATATATATATATATATTTATATATATATATTTATATATATATATATATATATATATATTTATATATATATATATATATTTATATGTATATATATATATATATTTATATGTATATATATATATATATATATATTTATATATATATATATATATATATTTATATATATATATATATATATATATTTATATTATATATATATATATATATATATATATATATATATATATATATATTTATATATATATATATATATATATATTATATATATATATATATATATTTATATATATATATATATATATATATATTTATATGTATATATATATATATATATTTATATATATATATATATATATATATTTATATGTATATATATATATATATATATATTTATATGTATATATATATATATTTATATATATATATATATATATAGAGAGAGAGAGAGAGAGATTGTGTGTATTTAGGCAGCATTTTTTCATTCATACATGTTTCATTAAATAATATAGACAAGTGTCGTCTATTTATTTTATGTAAATTCTTTTCATAACGTCTGATAAGCTTAATAACATTATCATTAAACGAAGAAAGATCACAATACTGATACATATTTTTAAATCCAATCTAAGCTTTCGGCTTACATAAGCCATTATCAAAGATGACAATTACAGTACAATATATTAAGCAATACACGGACAAAATGTGATGATAGTCTGTTTCTGTTTAGATGGATGAATTCCAAGAAACGATAAACACGTGCATATAAGACGCTGGAAGGGAAAATCGCTCTGCAGCTCATGACGTCACATATGACCACGCGAAAGTGAATTCGAGAAGTATTAATTATGGGAAGCCGTTGGTATAAACCAATGACTTCTGTTGCCAATTATAGACATTTAAGAATATTTGTAGAGATTTCATAGTTTATTTTCTTCAGGTTAGGTTTCAGCTGTTTTATATATATATAGCTTCAAGAATTTTCAGTTTCTGAATTTTCCGAGTTTTCCGAATCCGCAAAAACCTTTCCATCTAAACGCAGCGTCCCCAATGTGCATAGATAACTCTCTTACACTGCCTTTTTTACTCATCGACCCCGGAGGGGACTTGGTAATTTGGTACTTAAAATTACTGTCAAGATAATACCACACACAATAAGAAAATAATAAAAATAAGGAATTTAAATAATGTATTTTTTTCGTTTAATATCATTTAGAATATCTTAATGAATGCTTGACAGATAAATGTTTTATTCCAATAAATCCATTTTATTTCCTGATGTTAAATGTTTAAGCGTTTATTTTTATCATTATTATTCACAGAAAAATGGAAAACTTTGAAACTGGTGAGACGACTCAGAAACTCGTTGTGGGGAATTCGGATTCAATAGATTACGAGATTAACAGGGAACTTCTTTACCTTAGACGTAGCCCAACCGAACATGACATGTCTCCGACCGGTTACAGTGAAAGACAGGGCGGACCTGACCTGTCGGAAAATGAAGTAGGCGTGGTCATAATATTCGGCACGCCTATTATCTCTTTGTTTGTGGAAGGCAAAGAAAGGTTGTGCCTGGCGCAGATATCCAACACGTTGCTTCGCCAATTTAGTTACAACGAAATCCACAACCGACGAGTTGCTCTTGGCATCTCTTGCATGCAATGTACTCCAATACAGCTGGAAATCCTGAGGCGTTTAGGAGCCATGCCCATCTCGTCGCGACGGTGTGGCTTGATCACCCGAAGGGAAGCTGAGCGATTGGTTAAGTCGTTTCTTGTCGACAATACACCGCCCACCTTGCCGGACAACTTCTACTTCAAAGTGTACCATAAATGCGGATGGGGATCAGAGGGACACTTCATTCCAACAAGGTAAACGTCTATCAATGAATTTTCTCTGTTAATCATATATGTATGTATGCTTGCGCGGGGGCGTGAAAATACTAGGGGGTTGGTGTCCAAGACCGTGGTTAACCTACTGGGGTGATGCATCCCTAAGCTTTTAATAAAGTATCCGTCCTGGAGAAGGAAAACTCAGTTCTAATCCGGATTATCTCGCATCTGCATGTCTTTGGGATTTTCTTAGCATTAATGTTGTACCAGCCATACAAGGCTATAATCTCAACACAGGCAATGTTGACATTTTAACATCTACAGTTGGGGGTGTCCGTATGGTGTAATGGTTAACGAGAAATCGGTGAGCCGTGTTTGAATTCCAGTCGGGTTCGTTACATTCACCTTCGCGTAATTACCTTTGGGAAAGACAGGAAACCATTTTTTCTCCCCGCTTGCGGTTACGGGTTAAATAATAGGGCAGACTGGAATCTTCAGTCTTGGTTGGCAGCCAGTTTAGGAGGAGGAAAATTCTGAGTTATCGGGTAGATAGGAAACTTATTAGCAATAGTTTTAAGGGATTTCAATAGACATAGGTGCTGATTCTTAGCTCCGTATATTAAACTGTTGGACGTACAAGTTCCAAAGCAGTCGAGCTTACATTTTTTGAAGATCTGTGATAGGGAAGGGCGTGAACGATTAATGATGGATGAATGTATATTTAGAAAGAAACCGCAGAGAAAAAACAACAGAGGAGTGAAAAAGGGGGGTGGGGGTGGAGAAAGAGGGGACCTAGCGGAAAGGTGAATTAATATTATAAAACGGTTAAGTTACGTGTTACTGAATACCATATATCTAGCTATATAGATAGATGGATGGGTGGGTGTGCAGGCGGTGTAATGAATAGTGGTTCGGAATACGAAAACGGAGAGTCGAGTTCAAATACCAGTAGAGTTCGTAACATTCACTTACACGCAATACCATTTGAGAAGGTATGATTCCGTCTGTCCTTTTATCTCCTCCTCTCCAGCTGTGGGCTAAATGGTAGAGTAGAATAGGGTCTACCATCCACTTTAGTGCCAATCCTGACATCTCGCATCTGCTTGCCTCTGTGATTCTTGGCATTGTTGGTGTGAGTCATTGTTGTGTTGTGATTATAATAACCGCCCACACCCGCCAAAAAAAAAACAAAACAAACTTATCAATCCTACATATGTCCATAATATTCACCTATTGCTTCCTCTCTGTACAACCTTACAACTTCTTTTAGTCACCCTCTAGCTCGAGTGATCCTTGGTATTGGGTGAACTATAGTAAAAAAAGGATTTGTAGATTTTCTGAAAAAAGTATGCAAATCTTTATGGCCCATAATCTGTGAATTTATTTGAAAGCAATTAAAAGAAAAAAATAATATAAAGATATTAAAAATATCATTACGATAATATTATCATATATCATTATATTATCATATATCATTATATTATCATATATCATTATTAACATATATCATTACGATAATAAATAACACTGGTCAACAAAAAATAAAAAATAAAAATTTGGAATAGTGTCGAGACACCAAACATCTTTTTTTAGCTAATTTTTGGCTAACAAGGGCGTTGAATCTGAAAATGACTTTACTTTCTTTTTGGTTAGCTACCGTTTTTGTTGTACAGAAATGTGTCATTTTTGGAAAAAAAATTTTTTTCATTTTTTTTTTTGTATGTATGATATTGACCGATGGCATTATTTCTCAAAATAAAATCGTAGAAACCTCTTAATTCGTATTTAAACCGATAAATATTGGTCTGCTTATTAAGAAATACTATTTTTGCAATGACAATCAGGCGTTAAGTCTTTACAAATAACACGATTGAATATACCAAGACCAACAACTATTTTTATCAAATCATTTAATAAACTAACAGCAGAAATAAAACTATCGTGAGCATAAGAACTATGGAAAAAATTTTCTCTTTCTTGATTGTCATGTTCAATGTTATTTAAGTTCTTTTTGATACTCCAGCAGTATCATGTACAATGGAATAGGTGCATTCAATTGGGATGTCTTTAGTTGGAGTTTTTTCCAACTGTGAAAACAAAATGTTCTCAATGTGTTTGGTTTCCTTTCGTAGTGAAGGGATAAAAGTGATGTGATAAATTTATGAATATCAAGCAGAAGATTTTAGGATTTCATTTTTTATGTCACCATAATTATCAGGTTTACTAAAGTGTATTACTGATAAATATTATCAGTTAATTTGAATTTTGATGATAAATTGGAAAACTTCAGTACTTGTATTTTAAAATTTTTGAATCAAAAACACTTTTTTCTTATAAAAAATAGTTTATTTGAGGTGGCTGACATAAATTGCTCAGTCTACTTGAAAATTGATGGGTTTCTACGATTTTTATTAACTAAATATTGCGATCAGCCAGGATCGTAAATTGATCTTTTTTTTTTTTTACAAAAATGAGCAATTTCAGTACAGCAAAAACAGTAACGAACCACGAAAAGCTAAGGTCATTTTCGGAATCAGCACCATCAAATTAGTTAAAAAATGTTTTGTTTCTTGGCACCAAAAATCGTGCTGACCAGTGTAACAAATGAAAAATCATGGTGTTTTATTTGAAATGGCACCTCGAGCAAGATTGTCTCGCTAGAACAATTACGACTGAGTAGTGAGTTCGATCCTCACTGGGTGCACCATACTTTCGGCTTTGTGCCACATCTCAGCAGCGCTTAGAAAATCAACAAATGGCACGCCGAGGCGGTGTAGTGGCTAGCAAGCTTATCTCGCTAGAACAATTACGACTGAGTAGTGAGTTCGATTCTTACTGGGTACCCCATACTATCGACTTTGTCCCACATCTAAGCTACGCTTGGAAAATCACTATTTGAAAAGTTTTCTTTTATTGTCAGTAAGTACGATAAAAGCTGCGACGACTGAATGAGAATTCAGTCAGTCAGTGCCAGACGTGATAGAAGCTTGAGCGATCATGTCTCTCTAGATTCATGACCGGCTTGGTAGAAGATTTTGCCGCAGTAGATTTCTGTTTCTTTCTGTGGTAGACTGGTTGCCAACCAAAGCTATAGGACCCAGTCTGTCCTGCTATTCACCCCGTATCTATGGCGGGGAAAGAGAAGAGATTGATTCATGCCTTTCTTAAGGGTATTTGTGTGAAAGTGAATGTAACAAACCTGACTGGAACTCGAACCCTGCTCTCCGATTTCTCATCCTCAGAACGCAAATGAGAATTACTGGGACCAAAACACCGGTTTAAGTATCATTGATATTGTCAACTGTTGCGACGTTCAGACAACAATGAATTACGACTCCAATAGAAATTGTCTCTATGGATGTTCGAACAGCCTCATGGTTAGCGATGCGGAATTGGCGTGCAAAGTTTAAATCCCCTCTTTAAAGGTGTTCATTTTCGCTCAAATATCCGTGGAAAAGTGTGAATCAATCTCCCCCTCCCCCCACCGGATAGGAGTTAATAAACAGTGCTCTCTAGCCTTGGCTAGCAACCAGTCTACGAGAAGAAAAACTCTGAAAAACAAACCCAGCCTGAATAGTCCGACCATCTCTTTTTTTAATAATGTAACCTCAAGCAAGGCAATAAAGCCACTGAGACAGAAAGGGTTACTGAGTGTGAAGGTATAAGAAAAAAGAAACATTACTAAGCAACGAGGACAATAAAAGAAAATGAATCAAGAAGACAGTAGATAACGATTGGCATTGCATTTAAATTTTTGAAGATCAAAATTGTCTGGGAAGTATGTAACCGGAAGAGCGTTCTATAAGCGAGAAATGCGATAGAAGAAGCTGTTAGCATAGAACTTACGGTTACATCTAGCTATTTCAACTATAAATTGATGAGACCTTGTTGGCAATCTAGTATTGCGCTCTATATTCACGCTTTATACACACCACTGCTACTTCGGCTGCTAACATGCAGTGATCCAACGTCACTAGTGGGTTACGAGTTTTATGACATGACGTGAGAAATGGTTTGAGAGACGGCAAAGCATTCTAAGCTCTGTGTGGGAGTCATGAAAAGATCGTGGTCCAACTCACCTCCCCAAATCTGACCAAATAACCAAACATAAGAAGTTGGGGGAGTATCTGTTTTCTTAGGCCGAGGATTTTTCAGCAACCCTTCGTAGAGCTTGTGACAGATAACAGTAAAACAAATCAGTGCATTATTGGTAATAGTTTATTTTTAAAGCACCAACCCCTATTATCTGGAAAATGATGAATGGAAAGACTTCTGGGATTTACCAGCCCTAACATTATAAAGTGGATATTACTCTGTTAAATTATATATATATATATATATATATATATATAGTGTTATGCATTAATAATTTAATGCAAAGTGATTAGAGTATAATTGTGTGAAGATCAGATAGAATTCAGAATTATATCTATCTGCTAAATAAATAAATAAATAAACTGACGGCGTCAGAGTGAAGTTCTAATTGTTCGACTTTATTTCGGGAACAATGACCGAAAAAAAAATTCCTGAATGATGTGAGGGAAAAAAAAAGCAAAAAATTGATTTCTTTCTTTTGTAACGAACTAGGAGAAAACATGCTTAGATATAAATTGAAGTCATGGGATAACGAGTTATTAGATATTCGATAACTCAAGTTAAACTAGCAAGGATACCTGGCGTTGCACGGACCAAGTCCATTTCCTTTGCTTTACGATGCTGTCGTCTGTTTGAGAGACTTCTGTTTGCTGTAAAATGGTATAAGCAAAATTGTCGTAATTCAATTAGTTTGATAAGTCTAAACATTTTTCAAGTCGTTTATTTCTAATACGACGGGCTCATATTATGGCGCAATGGTAAGAATGAAGGCCTTGTAACCGAAGGGTTGCTGATTCGTTTATAGCGATAAAATGTTTGATTTTTTTTAAACTTAAATAAATTCAATAATTAAACAAAAAATTGATTAACTTATTTTATTTGTGGACAAAATGTAAAAAAATAAAATTTAGATTTGTTAGATTTTCAGTCTATACGATTTAAAAAATCAACATTGCATAATTCAATTTATACATTACTTAAGCTGTGATCTAAATGCTAAGGTGGTTGCTAATTCCAGAGCAGAAAATAGCCTTGATTTAAATAACCGAGTAATTTAATTATAAACATCATTAAAATTAACAAATCAATTATTTATAACTAGCTTAAACCCCGCACACCGTGCGGACTTTTAAGCTAACTGCTATAGGGGGCTAACAACAATGGTAATTTTAAAGAAATATCTTTGAATTCCTCAATTCACTCCATGAAACTTGAAAGCTTCACTTTAACTCTGATTCGGGCTATAAATCCAATTTCGACCAAAAGACCGATTTGGGCTGAAACTCCAGTTCAGGCCGATAAGTGAGTTCTTCTAATCACAAATTCAGTGGCACTTCAAAACCTAACGTCACAAAACCTCTCACTTTAACACTGATTCCTTGTCATTTTGTAGAAATAAAATTGACTTGGAAATATGTTTAAAATCACTAAATTTTTAGCTATTTTAAAATTTGAATTTTTAACTCTTCCCTCCACATCCGGACACAAATCCCAATGCTGGATGTTCAAGTACCAGGGCAGATTTTCAATCACGGGTTCATGCTGATTCCCAAAAATAAGATGTCTATGTAGAGCAGGTGTGGCCCGAATTAGAGCACTTTCAGACACACGGACGGACAGACAGAATTTGCCGTTTAGAAGATAGAAAAAACAAACAAACAAAAAAAAAGACATGAATAACTAAATGAATAATAAAATAAGTTTATTTTTAAAAAAATGAAAAAGGCGTGGTTTCACATATTGACGTGGCGCTATAAGCAGTTTTATTTGACCCACTCAAGGAAGATAGCGGAAAAACAAATTTGAACCAGTTAAGAAAGAAGGTCATCACTATAACAACTATAGAAGTTGGAGATCAACTTTGAGGGTGAATGAAATTTTTCCGAAGTTTTGACTACCTGTGTATAATCCGTTTTGACTCGGCTTTCTTCGTCTTCGATTCGGTATTCCGATTATTCCACTCTTTTCATTCAAGTAAATCTTTCTTTTAAAACATATCTTCAAAGACCTGAGAAGAAGAATTTTGTTGATATATCGATATTAATTGCCGTAATTCTGTAGATTATATATAAAAAATTATTGTTTGTCAATTTTCAAATATTAACTACCCGTGACCCGTTCGGTCACTGATAGTTCAGGTCATAAAACATTGAAGTTGATTTCAACATTAAAATATTGTCTGTTTGAAGAAAGTTGAAATATATATATACTGTATAAACAACTCGTATTTTTAAATATTATTGACTTAAAATATTTTTAAAATCACATTAACTAAAAAATACATTTTTAATATGCCAAAAATATTTTAAAATCATATTCACTTGAAAATATTCTTTAAACATTTAAAATATTGTTTGTTAAACAAAAGCTGAAATATAAATAAGCACGCACGAAATCTCAGAGGTGGAAAGAGAGAGAAGTGGAAAGATAGAGAGAGGTGGAAAGAGAGAAGTGGAAAGAGAGAGTGGTGGAAAGATAGAGAGAGGTGGAAAGAGAGAAGTGGAAAGATAGAGAGAGGTGGAAAGAGAGAAGTGGAAAGAGAGAGTGGTGGAAAGATAGAGAGAGGTGGAAAGAGAGAAGTGGAAAGATAGAGAGAGGTGGAAAGAGAGAAGTGGAAAGAGAGAGTGGTGGAAAGAGAGAGTGATAGGTGGAAAGAGAGAGTGGTGGAAAGAGAGAGAGATAGGTGGAAAGAGAGAAGTGGAAAGAAACTTAAATCATTATACACACCTTTTCCTTTTCTTCCTCTTCCTACACGATAATAAATTTACATCGTTCTTTCCCCCACTCTCTATATATGACTTCGTGTGCATGGTGGCAACACACAAGCAATCAAGCAAGCAAACACAGTTCACAGAGTTTTAGTATTATAAAGATGTCAAAATTAATTTTGCTTGGCAATAAACTATATTTAATGAAGAGAAAAGCGTTTAATGAAATACCTATTGAACAGCCACGCTTCTAGATCCTTTCATATTAATGCGGGGTTTCCCTAGCCAGGGCTCGATCCTTGGACCTACATTATTTCTGATCTTCATCAACGATTTTCCCGATGTCATCAGATCCCATCTCGGTATTTATGCTGATGACACAGTTCTTTACTCTTGTCTTAATCGTAAGTCCGATAAAGTAAAAATAACAGCTGCATTCTAAAATGACTTCCAATCAGTTTTTAATTGGGGCAAGAAAGGGTTTATAAATTTGAATGCCTCCAAAACAAGCTGCAATCTTTTAATCATCATAGAGAACCATTTTTACTTTCCATCAGCATATGGCTGATGCTAACCTCTATGAGAGCAACTCATTGTGCCTTCTTTGTCTCACGTTTTCTACTGATATGAAGTGGAGTGGTTTGCTGCTAGGAAAGTTGGTTGCCTGTGTCGTTCCAGATAATCGTTCTGGCCGGAATCCATATTGCACGTTCATAAATCTGCTATTCGACCGTGCATTGAATATTTCTGACATACCTGGTCTGGTGCTCTGGCTATATATCTCAAGATTTTTGACAAAAGAAAGGTTTGTATTGTCATCGGTCCTGACCTGACATCTCGACTTCAGTCACTGTCCCACCGCCGTAACTTGGATTCACTAGGCCTTTTCTACAGATATTTTTGATGCAATTGCTCAAATGATCTCTCCTTCTTAGTACCTCGATCACATGAATTTAAGCGTATTACCAGATTGGCAATTAGGTCTCATGGTTTTACAGTTGAAATAACTAAATGTAACTGTAAGTTCTATTCTAATAGTCTCTTTACTCACACCTCTCGCCTGTGGAGTTCACTTCCGCTTTCATACTGCCCAACTGCCTACAATTTTCAAAAATTTATACACAACATCAATCACCATCTTCTGTCTTCATGAAACCTGTTCTTTTATTGTCCTTTCTCCTCATGAAAGTCTTCTCTTTCGCTTTCAGTAATCTCTGGCGTCTTAGCTGCTTTATCGTCTTAGTTGGGGTGAAATGATAAAAAAGAAAATGTTTCGATAATAATGTTGATGATGATGGTAGTAAAGTTAGACAAAATCAATCGCATTTATTTTATTTGTTAATGAAATATTGATTATTGGTATTTGACCTTTTAAAACTGATTTCTTTACCATCCCTTTTGTGCAGGTACAACAGTTCGCGGGCAAAATGCATCAAATGTGTTTACTGCAATGTCTTTTTCTCACCAAACAAATTCATCTTTCATTTTCACCGGACGGCGAGCAATGAGTACCGACATGCTGATGCAGCAAATTTTAATTCTTGGCGCAAACATCTGCTTCTAGTCGAGCCTGTTCCTTCCGAAGACATCGTCCACGCATGGGAAGACGTCAAAGCCATGTTTAACGGGGGCAGCCGAAAAAGACTAACCATCAACCCTGCCCCATTAACCTCAAAATCTAATGTCAAAGAAGTGCATTGTATCCCATACTCCCAGAAAGAAAACTCTAGCACTGAACAAATTCCTATGCCTGTGGGAGACAGATTTTCACACATAGTTCCGCAATTTTCTGTAAATCCTACTTTATATAATCCCCCTTCAGGGGATTCATTGCTTCCTCGGGCCCATCCTGCTTTTCCGAAACCTCGGGTTCCAGCCAGTTATGGCGACTTTTTCAGAACCTTAAGTGCTCCTTACAGCATGTGGTGGATGAAGTATGCCCCAACTATGACAGCCAATTACAATCTGAATCATCTATCTCGAAATCCATTCGACATGGCCTCACAAGTTGCACAGCCATGGCCAGCAAATATAAAGCGCATGCGTGAACCAACTACATCCAGTGACGAATCAGAATACAAGTACAATGGTTTTAAAATGCCGGATCAATGGAATGGTTTCACTTTCATGCAACCCACAAGAACATTGTATACGGAATCTGGAACGACCGAAAAAGAAGAAGTTGGCGGAAGCGGAAGTCCGAGAAGCCAGAAGTATGCTGGAAATGAAACGGCAGTTGATGCTTGTGACTATTCGAACAATATTCGTGATTCGCCTGATGTAGAGAATGTAGCGTCTCCTAACCTCAGTGATGCATCCTCAAATGATGGGGTTCAGGACCATGTGGGACCTCGAGAAAAGTATGCACGTCGAGAACATGATGCAGCCGACGTGTCCTCTACGTCTTCATATGGTCCGCCTTCTCCGTCGATTCAAGCAGTCGAAACCTGCAAACAAATATTAACAGACGACCAACAGACGATGGTAGATGACAAAGAAATGGGAAAGCAATGTCAGGTAATTTATTATTATTTTTTTTTTTTACAGACGTTTGTTGGAAGTATTGATTTGTTTGGATTAAATCAGATCTAACACACAGTATCAAACATAGAGCAATTATTGAGGTTCAAACTCATAATAAATGGGTTATAATATCAGTTTGTTAACAACTGCACGATTTGAAAGACTTGATTGAAGTGCATATCTTTTAAAGTATTTTTCATTGGAGTGTACTTCTTTTTAGACATTTACCACGCAGTGAAGTAGATTAAATTTGAAAAAAAAATTACATTCTGTTTGACTTCAAATACACTAGACATTATAAATGGTTTAACACTTTCTTTTACTCCGGCGAAGCAATCATCTATCCTCCAAAATACGTCTGTTTTAATTTTAGAATTAAAATAAACGTTTTATTAGCGTCTTAGATTCTATTAGAATAACTGACAAGGTCTTTCGCCATACTCATGTCAAGTTTCTGTATATTTCTAAAAAAAAAAAATAAATACTGACTACAAAAAAGAAAAAAAATTCAACTATGAAATACTTCTGGTTAACATTTTTGATGTTGGTCTGTATAAGCTATATATGGGCGCGTAGCGAATTGGTTAGAGCGTTAAACTTCGGACCATGAGACAGGGATTCGAATTTGTTAGGAAAGTGACCTTGATAATATAGACCTGGGAAGCGTACAACATCGGTGAAAAACATCCCACGGGTCAATTCAAGGCTTGTAGGTGGAATTAAGTTGACGAAGCTGTTCGGAAGTTTATGCTAGTACGAATATGAAAAAAGAATCATCTTACTGGCCGCGTTTAACTCCTGATCACGCCAGTTACAACAGAAACTGTAACTAGTATCTGCTCAGCATAACTAGATATAAAACGTGAGTGTGGAAGAAACAATAATGTGCCTGAGCAGGCGTCTGCAACAGGGATTAGTTATTTACCCTCGCAGATGTCCATACTCTGAAATGAGTAATCAACTTAATCCATATTGTATTGCTCTATAAACAGACGCCATTGTGTTGCTCGTTAAACATTATCCTTTTAAAACCGGAATCATATCAATTTATCTTTTGACGGCTATATTTATTTTTCTTAACTTTGTTTTTTCTTCCTGTTTCAGTCAAGTCGGTTGCTGTCAGATGAACAGCCTCTTTCGGGTAAGAGGATTCTTGGATATTGTCTCTATTAAGTTTGCATGTCTAAAGGTTTCTAAACTGATTGATATAAGAAAGGCTAATTTTTGAATGTTACAACTAGCGGTACGAAAATAAGGCATTTAGCAAAGCTCAAGTTTTGGCCTAGGGCAACCTAAAAAAAAAAAAAAAAAAAAAGAATTTCTCTTTCTACATCACATTCAATCGTCCGTTACCTTGACTATAGGTTTGTCTTTGGTAAACAGCGACAGTAAAGAAAAAACTTAAGGCTAAGGGAATAATCCAGTCTTATTATTAATAAAAATTTAATTCTTCGAGATTAAAAATGGGGTCATATTCAGAGTAGATTGATAACAAACATGGTTTGATGTTGCTAGATTTCAGTCTGGCATTGCAAAGGATCTTGAGAAATTTATTAGAAGCAAAAACCAGGAATTAATATTGCCACAATGCTATATGAAGAACGGCTTCAGTATTCTGCTTGTTACCTTGGCAGAAAATGATTAATGATTTTAAAGAATTTTTTCAGAGTTATTTTACAAGACATGTTTTTTTTATCCAATTTGGAATTTGGGTCAGTTAAATGGGATTAATTCTTGTTATGATAATGTTGTAGATTCCGAGATGAAATTCGGTCTCCAATGAATGACAAACGCAAGAATTAAAATGTATTTACCCAATAATACAATGGGTAATACTGTTGGTAAATCCAGGAACGCGGTTAGTGGCAATAATAATAATAATAATAATATATATATATATATATATATATATATATACATATATATATACACAGTCTACGTGCTTGTAACTGAGACTTCTACAAGCGATTACCTCACACTATTACTCTACCTCCAACTCCATCACAATCTCTGCTCACTCTCTCTATATATTCTGACTGACTCTGTGTATTTAACGGCAGCAGTCCAAGTAACACTCTGGTCGAATCCACTTATATGAAAAAGGGGTGGACCCCATAACAGATAATCTGAAGAAGGATAGATAGAGAGAAACGCTGCATCTGGTGAATAATTTTTGAAATATCTATGCACTACTTTCATCGTTTAAAGACTATTCAGTTTTTTTGATAGGAAGAGTTTTATGATTATTTTAAAATCGATTTTGAAGGCGTAGTTTTAGGTTATCTGAAATATCGGATTTTTATTTGATTTCCCTTTAAGATTTTATTTAATCGCATATGTATTTTTAATATTTTATTTTATTTATACGTGAATTTTTCTTTTTTTTTCTTTTTGCAGATGGAGAATTAGAAAGTATTGCAACTGATAACATGGACTTGGAACATATTTCTGTCGGTAGATGTTATTCACGATGCATATATATATATATATATATATATATATATATTTTGTCTTAAATCCCACTTAAGATTATCGCACAAACTTTCAAAACTGAATCAATAAACTGTCAGATTCTCATACGTCGAAACCGACGGGAGAGTCCATTTATATATATATATATATATATATATATATATATATATATATATATATATATATCGTGAACATTGAAGTCAACACTCAGAGTATCGGCAAGTTTTTCTTTTACAACGTGTTTTTCTAATCAGGCTGGGGGTCAGGTTGAAGGGCGCTGCCCTTAAAAAATGTTTTTGGAGATATGCGATATAGCAGAATCATTTTGAGACTATCTTTACTAAACATGAGGACGTGGTGTCATATTCATTCTAAGACGTGTTATCATTGACATAACAATTTTTTATCTGTGTGACATGAAATGGCGCCATGTTTGTGCCATATAAATGTGTAATAACGATCCGGGAAAATACTATTTAAACATTCGTAGTATTATTCATTTATACCAGAAATACATAAGGGATATAATAAAAGTTACTTATTTTTTTTTATTTTATATTGATTTTGTCGAAATATGTCAATGATAATGGCATTTTTATATTTCTAGGTGTAGTTCCCACATAGTCAATCGCCACATTATTATGATGATGTTGTCATATGTATTTTAGTTCACTGTTTTTCTGCTCATTATATCGCATTCTTTAGTTGTATTGACATTTAACATGAGTGATTGAAAAATGTAACCATAATAAATATAAAACTAAATTAGAAATATTAAAATAAAATCAAGTCAGATATCCCGACAGTCTTCCGTGGTGTGGAATGTGACTAATGTTTCTTTGTGTCCTGGAAACACTCCGCGTGCCGACAGGCGTACCCCACTTTAAGTAGCACTGATTTAAGTTGACAAAGATTAAAATTTATATGTTGCCCTTTCTGTAACGTTATGTTACGTTACTTAACTTTCAGTCACTTTTGCTATATTAATCCATTTTTTTTTCATTTGGAGGATAGGCAGGAATCAAAGTCATGGACAAATGACAGCTCCAAGTTTTAGTTAATTAACAGCCGTCATTTAACAGTAATTATACCAATCTTATTTATAATATAGGATTTATTAATATTAAATTTAGAACTAAAAAATTAAAAAAAAATCACACCTTTTTCCTTTGTTTTCAGAAAAGTTGCGTAATCTTCTGACGAAAGCGAAAAAACTTAAGAAGAAAGCTGCCCAAAACCGGAAAAGACTTCGATGTAAGATTTCTTTCTATTTTTAAGATTTACTTCATTAATCAAATATTATTATCTAATTAGATTTCACCAAGAGCTTCTTTTACAATACCTATCTCTATAACGCATCTACCTATAATTCTACCTATAATTCAGTAAATAAATAATAAGACCACATATTTCTAGAAGTGTAATAATAAGCGCAAATGCCCTTGAGAAAAGTATGAATATATCTCTTCTCCTCGCCCAGCTATGGACAGACTGGGACATATAATCTTGTTGGCAACCAGTCTCCTATAGAAAGAAACGGCGGCTCACTGCGGGAAAATATTCTGGTTAGTCAGTCATGAATCAAAAGAGACACGATCGTCCAAGCGTCTATCACGTATGGCACGTAACTGAAAGAGTCGACAGTGATTTAGATGAGGAAGTTGTGGAGAGACATGATCGCCCAAGCATGTGTCACGAATGACATTTAAATGATTGAATATTCTTCTAAAAATCTGTTGTAACATAAGAAGGATTCCAAAACGGACGATGGAGATGGTAATCTTTATAACATCCACAAAATAAATTACTCGCCAGCGACGTAAAGTAGGTAAACCACTGCTAGTGATGGACTACTTTGCATATTACCCCCACTTACAATAGTGTCCAATGTATTTATGAGGATTGGGATATAGGCATTAGTGTTCATAGGTACTGTATATAACAGAAAGAATGAATGAAAGCAAGCAAGAAAGAAAGTGTTGTAACCTAGAAAAGGTTACTGAATGAGAAATAACCAAAACGGGGGTTGGAAATGAAATGATAATCTTTATAGCATCATCAAAATAAAATACTCGCCAGCGGCGTGAAGTAGGTAAACCACTGCTAGACAGCATATAACTCCACTTACAATAATGTCCAACGTATTTATGAGGATTGGAACATGCCCATTAGTGTTCATAGGTACGGTATATAACAAAATCTCTTCAGAAATAGTAATGTTTTCTTAAAATACAAATTATCTCAGGACATTTCTTATAGAACTTAACCACGAATATTATAGTTAAGTTCACAACAGACATTTCAGATTACGCACATTAATATACTCACAGATGTTTATTTATAGACGTAGAAAGTTAATATTTTGTAGTTGACTTAGTAAATATTTCATCTTAGTTTTAATCTTAAATTCCAGGTACATTTGAAGAATATTACTCAAAAGAAGAAGAAATAATAAAAGATAAGCGTCCAAAGCCAGTGAACACCAAAGGTAAGTACAGTCATCGAATTCAACCTTTTATGTTCGTTAGTAGATGATGTTTAAAAGGGTTTAAGCGGCAGTAGAGATGGTGAAGGATTAGTTGGGTGAGGAAGTGAAGGGCTGGAGGCGTGTGGTTCCATTCCTAATATCGGACTTGTGCAGTGTGCAACTTACCCCAGCTGATGCTGGGATGGACTTTGCACTCAGTCCTGCAAGGAAGCCAGATGGAGGGGGTGGTTATCGGCGGGATGGCCCGACAAATACTCTTCTAGCTACCAAGTGCAGATCTGCGCCTCTCAGGATGTTAGTGGCTGACCCCGACAGGTGATCACGTGATCGACCCAGTGCACCTGCGATGTGCGCGCGCGGGAAAGAACCGTATGACAGATATATAAACACCTACCCAAGAGGGGACAGTCTCTTACATCGATACGAGGAAGTAGGGTTGATTTTAGGAGAAGGCCTCCACTGGCCGGGGTGATTGACGAATTCTGTAGTTGAGTAAAATGTAATGCTACATATGAAAGATTTATTCTTGTGTTTTCAATTGTAATGTGTACCGATAAAGTTACACTGGGGTGGGGGGATTGCTTTTATATAACTAAGAAATCGGAATATAAAATTAACTCTATGTCATTTTGTTCAATGGTTTTAAATTCCATGAACGTATACTTATGGCGTCTTGGGTAAGACGATAAGCTACATCCGAAAATAAAAACCAAGTATCCTATTGCATCAGAAGTCTGCGTTGCTTGGTTCTGTGGTGATAGTGAAATAGATAAATAAAAATAAATGACAAGAAGACCAAAACTTCACCATCCCTAAAAATAGACGGATAATAAAAATCGTCAAGCAAACAAAGACATAGTTCGACCAACCAAGCAGAAAGCTTTTACAACCAGTATGTAAGAAAAGAAATAAACAAATAATAACAAGGAGATCAACATTTCCCCATTGGTAAAAATATTTCGACCAACCAATCAAAAAGCTTTCCCAATTATGATATAAGGCCGCGAGCCAATGAGAACTGAGCAACATTTTCGAAGCGGATCTATAGATGTGTATATAAACAGATGGAAATTGACCAAAGCCAGAGATAATGAATTAATCAAAATTATTAAGAGTACATTGTCGGACTCTCTGCTTTCGGGCGGAGAGTAACTCAGACTGGGCTATACATACGGGCAGAGTCTCGTCTGGGGAAAAATAGACAGCCATCCGACCCCCTGTATGTGCGGCGTTTACGGGGAATTTTTGCCCGAGTGTATGCCCTCGGAAAGTCCCACGTTAAAAACTGGCCTTGTGCCACATCCCTCTTTGTGGGGAGCTCGGATAAATATCGAGTTTCTCTATTCTCCGATGCTGCTGTCATTCGTAACATACCTACAGATGAAATACGATATTTGCACGACTCGCAGGCGACCTTACACGGCCAAACCGTTCTTTGCTACATTGAAGACAAAACATACCTTCCTTTACTGCGTAGACAAGCGGTGGCTACTACATTTGAATACATACATACATAGTTATATATATTTAACTTCCTCCCGGACTCTTTCTCTCTCTCTCTTTCGTATGCACCAAAATTTTTATACTTTAACTTTTGAAACTTCAAGTTTCACCTTACCCTTTTGTATTAATATATTGTATATATAAAGATTTCTTTTGTATTTATCAACACCGGTCATTTTCTTTGATTCACTAAACAAGGCCAATATACATCCATTTCAATTATACTGTATATATGGTGGGAAAGGACATTATTAGAAGATCGCCTAATAGTCCCCACAAGTGACAAGTGATCTGTAGTCCTTGCATGGAATACTGCTGTCATATATGGTCTGGTGTTCCCGCTGTACGTCTCGAGGTCCTTGACAAAATCCAGAGACGAATATGCAAGATGATAGGTCATGATTTGGCAGCTAGTCTACAATCGCTATCCCACAAACGTGCCTTGGCCACCCTCTGTCTCTTCTTCAAGCATTTTCACGGCAACTGTTCCGACGATCGACTTTCGCTGGATCCCGGACTACATGAATTTAAACGAGCTACCAGGCTGGCATCTCGGTTCCACCCTTTCACTGTCAAAACGGTTCAATGTAATCGTCTCTTCTTCTCAAACAGCTTCTTCTCCCGCACTTCTGTCTGTTGAACTCCCTTCCCCTTAGTTGCTTCCCCGATGACTATAATCTTCAAATATTCAAGTGTAATGTCAATCGACATCTGACACCCCGAGATTGTTCCCCGTCCTTCTCCGTATCCTTTCCTCTTTACTCTTATTCTCAATCCTCCGTGACCCCCTGCGTGCTAGCGGCACTCCCGCCTTGCTTGGGGTGAATTGCCTTAAAAAAAAAAATTAAAAAATATTATAATATTATTATATTGATGTATAAGTCCAAATGAATAAATACTTCCTTTTTATTTCTTCCAGAGAGTCGGGATCCAGTAAATGCTTTGTGCAGCAAGATGGCAGTTGGTGAACGGTGTCCTAAAATGTCTGCCGCAGAAATGGCCGGAGCTATAGTGAACGCGAACAGAACTTGA